ATGGAATGGTCTCTTAAAGACACAGTTACAGTGCCAATTAGATGGCAATAGCCTGGAAGGCTGGGGCAGGGTCCTCCAGAAGGCAGTGTATGCTTTGAATCAGCATTCAATATATGGTACAGTTTCTCCTATAGCCAGGATTCACGGGTCCAGGAATCAAGGGGTGGAAGTGGGAATGATTCCACTCACTATCACCCCTGGTGACCCACTAGAAAAATTTTTGCTTCCTGTACCCTTGACTTTGTACTCTACTGGCTTGTATGTTTTGGTTCCAGAAGAGGGAGTGCTTCTGCCAGGAGAGACAACAAACATTCCATTGAACTGGAAGTTAAGACTTCCCCCTGGCCACTTTGGATTTCTGATGCCCTTAAGTCAGCAGGCTAGAAAGGATTAACAGTATTAGGAGGGATGATTGACCCAGACTACCAGGGGGAAACTGGACTCGTTCTCCACAATGGCGGTAATGAAGATTTTATCTGGAAGGCAGGAGATTGCTTAGGGTGACTTTTGGTGTTACCATGTGCTGTGATTAAGGTCAATGGGAAACTGCAACAACCCAATCCAGACACTACAACAAATGGCCCAGACCCTTCAGGGATGAAAGTATGGGTCACTCCTCCAGGGAAAGATCCAAGACCTGCAGAGATGCTTGCTGATGGTGGAGGAAATACAGAATGGGTTGTAGAGGAAGGTAGTTACAAACACCTAAGCTACGGGACCAGTTACAGAAACGTAGATTGTAATTGACATGAGTATTTTTGTCCTATTTGGTTAAGAATAGGCTTGTGCATGCATAAACATATGTTAAGCAGATACTTGTGTTTCTTTCTTGAATGTGTAATTGAGATGTGTTAAGTGGTTGTGTTGTGAACCTATAAGATTATATTGGGTTATGAGACACTAAAGGACTAAGCATTCCTCAAAGACCTTATCACCTACTCTAAGATATATAATGCATAGGTCATTGTATAATGGGATAGTTATATCATGTTAGGTGAAATTATGACCTCAACACTATTTTCATTTGAAAATTAAGCATGACATAGAGAGATGCTGTTGGATGTCAAGTTGACAAGGGGTGGACTCGTGATGGTTAATCCTGGGCATCAACTTTACTGGTTCTGGGATTAACTGAAATGAGAGAGATCTTCTTAATTGGATCATCTGAAGCTTCTGAAACTGGAAGACACGCCCTAAATGTGGGTGTTACTTCTGATGGCAGCCCGTATAAAAGGCCATGGCTGGGCGATACCTTATGATGGCAGCCCGTATAAAAGGCCAAGGCAGAGGAGAATGCCTGGCTTCTTGCTGCTTGCCTTCTCTCTCCCTGATGAGTTCATTTGCTGCTGCAAACTGAAGACTAGCTGATCTTTTGGAATTTATCAGACCTTCAGTGCCAGATTGGGACTACTGAGACATCCAGCCTCATGGACTGAGCGACTACGGATTCTCAGCCTCTCCAGTGTGGTGCAGCCATTGTTGGACTACTTGGACTCTATCCTATGAGCTAAGCTGATAAATCTCTATACATATATATTCATTCTACCGATTCTGTTTCTTTTGAGAACCCTGAGTAATACACCAATCTTCCTTCAGTTCTTTGATTTCTTTGTTTGTGTGTTCTTTAAATTCACTGAATTATTTTTTCATGTTTATAATTGTTCTTTTGAGTTCCATGTCCTGCAGTATCTCTAGGGGGTTCTCATTTTACTCCTCTAGAGGACTATTGATATTTGGAGGGGATATTTTATTTTGGTTTTTCATGTTATTTTTTCTCTGTCTTTTGACATGTGAATTTCTTTTGTAGTTTCTGATTCTTGTGTGAGACTCAAGCCTTCAAGTTTAGGTGTGCTGTTTTTGTAAACTTTATTTGCCTTTGTGGTTTAGCTTTTGGGCATGAAAAGCTGGTTCATTTGGGCTCTCTTTTGATTTTATATTGGAGTGGCCAGATTGCTTTTGTTTTCATGAGTTCCCATCGAGGCTCAAGTCAGATGAGGATCAGATGCCCTCAGGCTTTCTACTAAGGTCTGG